TGCAAACAACTCCCTCTTTGGATTAAGACCGGACCAAATCTTCAGCCCTATACCTCAACCTCCGACAGATCTGGGACTTGATCCATACTACAGTGATGCTCCTGCTCAAGTTAACTTCCTGTCCCCCAGAGAAAATAGTGAAACACCTGCTCGGCTCAGGTCACTAATCATTTCCCCTCATATGACAGCTGACGATGCCCCTCCATTGAACCCTCGAAGGCCTGTTTCACGGGAGGAAACTCCTATCAATGAAAGACAGACAAAAAGGCAAAGGAGGATATCGACTAGACAATCAAGAAAGAGGTTACCTGGAGGAGGACCTAATATCCTCCTTGGCACTAGTTCAAAGAAGAGAAATCTCTCTCAAATCCAGTACTCACCAGGAAACAGTAAGAGAGCGAGGACTGCGGGGCCCGATAGAGCACTGGCTCTGGGAAATACCTCAATTGTGGCTACTGAGGCTTCCAACGCTATTAGAAACCCTCCTATCCAGCTGATACCGGCAATGACAAAGAAGAAGGCGGATTTTCGGCTTCCCCAGCTCCCGGGTCCTTACTCGTCCTGAGCTGGAATTGTTGTGGACTTGGGAACCCCATAACAATCCAGCGTTTAAAAGAGCTCCGTAGAAAGAAGGACCCCAACATTCTTTTCCTGATGGAAACAAAGAATTCAGAAGAAATGATTATTAAAGAACTCCCGTGGCTAAAAGAAGATAACACCTGCTTTCTTCCCCCCCCCCCCACACTCCAGGAGGTGGTGGTCTCATGCTCAGTTGGAAAAAGACATCGTGCTTACAGTCCTATCTACCTCCAACAATTTCATTGATACGGAAATCGTCTCCAAAGGGAAACCTTTCTTTGCTACGTTCCTATATGGGGAACCGGATCATACAAAAAGATTGGCCGTTTGGAACTCACTTTCTAATCTACAAGCCAACCCCAAAGGACCGTGGTTCTTAACAGGAGATTTCAATGAAGTACAGGATAACAGTGAGAAAAAAGGAGGGCCAGAGAGAGCAGAAGGTACTTTTGGGAATTTCCGTACCTTCCTATCCGAAAATGACCTTTTTGATCTTAAACATTCTGGAAATCTCTTCTCCTGGAGAGGCAAAAGAGGCACACATCTTGTGAGGTGTCGTCTTGACAGAGATATGAGTAATCCAGAATGGATGGACCTCTTCCCCTCCTGCCGAAGCCAATACCTCAAATTCGAGGGATCTGATCATCGCCCCATCATCTCGTATCTGGACACTTCAAGGAAAAAGGGTCACAATTTATTTCGCTATGATAGACGTTTAAAAGACCAAAAAGAGATAAAAGATCTAGTTTCTGACATCTGGAATAACTGCGACTATCTGGGAGTAGAAGCAAGGCTTGCCTTATGTCGCAGAGCCATTTGCAAATGGTGTAAACTGTTCCATGAAAATAGCAAAAAGGTAATTGAAGACCTGCGTGGGGAACTGGATGATCAAATGAGTACGGACTCCCCAAATGAAGATAGGATCCGCGATATTAATAATCTCCTTCTAAAGGCCTACCTGTCAGAGGAAGCTTACTGGAAACAGAGGAGCAGACTCCTATGGCGTACTTTGGGAGACTCTAATTCTGGGTATTTTCACGCAGTAACAAAGTCGAGAAAGGCAAGGAACAGACTCACGGTTTTGGAAAACGATGATGGGATCCCGTGTTTCGAAGAAGAACAGATTTCTTCGTTGGTGTGCACCTATTATGAGAAATTATTCACGGCAAACCAAAGAGTGATTAACTGTTCAGTAATCCCTGAAGCCCTCAAGCCCTGTGTAACACAGGAATGGAATGAGTTTCTTACCCGAGACCCAACACCAAAAGAAATAAAGGAAGCGCTCTTTGCAATCCACGCGGATAAGGCCCCCGGGCCTGACGGCTTTTCTGCGTGTTTCTTTCACTCGAATTGGGAGGTGGTTGGCCCCTCAATCGTAAAGGAGATCCAATTTTTTTTCTCCACAGGGATCCTGCCACCTACATTGAACGAAACTCATGTTAGGTTAATCCCCAAGAATCTCACCGCAAAAAGAGTGGATGAATACCGACCTATAGCTTTGTGTAATGTTTTCTATAAGGTTATCTCCAAGCTCCTCTCCCTACGTCTCAAACCCATCCTTGGCACCATAATCTCGGAGAACCAGTCAGNGGATCCTGCCACCTACATTGAACGAAACTCATGTTAGGTTAATCCCCAAGAATCTCACCGCAAAAAGAGTGGATGAATACCGACCTATAGCTTTGTGTAATGTTTTCTATAAGGTTATCTCCAAGCTCCTCTCCCTACGTCTCAAACCCATCCTTGGCACCATAATCTCGGAGAACCAGTCAGCTTTTATTCCTGGACGAGAAATAACAGACAATGTGTTAATCACGCAGGAGGTACTACAGTTTCTCAAGACTTCTCAAGCACAAAAGCAATGTACTATGGCTGTTAAGATGGATATGTCTAAGGCCTATGATAGACTAGAGTGGGATTTCTTATCTCAAGTGATGGAACGCCTAGGTTTTCACAGCAAATGGATCAACTGGATAATGCAGTGTATCACAACGGTGTCCTACTCCTATCTCATCAATGATTCTGTTTATGGATCTATCAAACCTCACCGTGGGATCAGACAGGGTGATCCAATCTCGCCCTACCTGTTTATTCTTTGCGGAGAGGTTCTCTCAAGTATTTTCAGGAATGCGGAACTGGAAGGATCCCTGAGAGGTATTCGTGTTGCTAGAGGCAGCCCACGAGTCAACCATCTGCTCTTTGCAGATGATACTATGATCTTCTGCAACTCTTCGCCAGAAAGCTGCCTCTCCCTCACCAAAGTCTTGCGTGATTATGAAAGTGTTTCGGGTCAGAAAGTTAACATAGCAAAATCGTCTATCACTTTTTCTGCAAAAACCCTAGAGGAAGTCAAATTGTCTGCCAAAAATATCCTGGGTATTCAAAAGGAGGGGGGGGGTAGGCAAATACTTAGGCCTTCCAGAGCATTTCGGAAGGAAGAAGAAAGACCTATTTACCTCTATTGTCGATAGGATCCATCAGAGAGCTGCAAACTGGTCGACAAGGTTCCTCTCGAAGGCAGGAAAACTAACCATGCTCAAAGCTGTCCTTACCTCCATTCCTACCTATGCAATGTCCTGTTTTCTCCTACCCCTAAGCCTTTGCAATAGAATCCAATCTGCTCTAACCAGGTTCTGGTGGGATAAGACACCTGATAAGAAAAACATGTGCTGGTTAGCTTGGGGGAAACTAACAAAACCAAAGAAGACGGGAGGACTT